TCATGTTTGGGACGGTGGAAGGACAGCACAGGAGAGGAAGACCCTCAATGAGATGGATTTATTCAGTGACTGGGGTAATGAGGGTAGGTGCGTCGGAGACAGTGAGATTGGCACAGGATAGAGCAGGGAAGGGCTGATGTACATAGGGTCGCCATCAGTCACAGGCGGCTCAGCGGCACATAACAACAACAACATACAGATTAAATAGGTATAGAGAAAGGATATAACCCTGACACACACCCTTCCTGACTTTAAACTGTAAAATGTTCCCGTGCTCCTTCAGACAACAGCTTATTGCGTTAGGTATAGATTCCATATGAATACAATTAAGTGTTCTGGGATTCCTGTTCTTCTCAGTGTTAGCCCTAATTTTATGATCTGCAGTCAAATGCCTTTGCATAGTCAAGAAATCACAAATATACATTCTTCTGGTACTCTGACATCTAGTAGAGGGTCGTTTTGAGTTGGAACTCAATTTGACTGCAGTGAGGTTCGCTTTTTGTTTGTTTCTGTTAAGAGTGTCAAAGTTTCCTTTTGTATTTGTGAATTCATCGACTTCTTTCAATTTTATTGGGTTTTGTTTTATGCCTTCTGAAGCTTGTTCCTGGGTTCCTACACATGTCGGATTGTTCTATTCCATAGAGACCCGCCCGGTCCATGCCTTGTCAGCGTGGGTTCTTGAGCAGTGAGCACATTCCTGTCCTTTTCCTTGTTGATTGCTTCATCATGACCTACTGTTGCTTCATCATGACCTACTGTTTGTCAGTAGTTCTTATTCCTTTCTTTACAGCCTAGTTGCTTAACAATTCGTAAGTCAGGTAGTGAAGAACTATTATCTACCTTAAGTTTTTAAAATAGTCTTAAATTTACTTCTTCATATTTGGAAGTTTTATTGACTGGATACAAAATTCCAAGGTTTCCCTTTCTTTTTCTCTTTCTTGCCAGCACTCTGAAGATACCACTCCATTATTGTCTGTTCATGTAATTTTTTTAACAAGAAATGACCTTTACCTTCTCTTTGGTCATCTGTATGTAGTGCCTCTAACATTTCCCCTTTTTCAGAAGTTTGGGTATGATGTATCTTGATTTTCTTCCCTCCCCCTTCCTTGTTTAGACCATATGGATTTGTGGTTTAATATTTTCTGAATCTTTTGGGAAAATTTCCAACTCTTCTCTCTTCAACAAATTTTTCTCCTTTGTATTACCATCACCTTTTTCTGAAGTTGCAGTTCTGTTTTAGACATTGTATGACATCTGTTCTGTTGCAGTTCTATTTTAGATGTTGTATCTTATCAGTTCTCTTGTGGGTGTATGTTAAATGTTTTATGGCATACCGTTCTGACCTTCCACTTCCCTCTTCTGTTTCAGCTCAGGTCATTTCTGTTGGCCCACTTCTTGTTCCTTCAGAGTTTTGCACTTCTTTTTGGTTCTGTCATGTGCTTTCCATCACTGTGCTAAGTTTCTCCATTTTTATGCTTATAAAACCTTTTATACCAGAGTCTTTAACATTAATCACAACTATCTTAAATTCTCTTTCTGATAGTTCTAATATCTAAATTATCTTACTGTTATTCTAATGCTTTGTTTCATGCAGTCAGGTTTAATCTTTTCATTTTATTATGACTTGTAGTTTTTTGTTGAAAGCTGGGTTTGTGTGTGGGACAGAAGTCCCACTTAACTAAGAAGCAACACAACAAGGGATATGGGGATACTGCATGGCTTAAATCCAGGACAGATATATATTAAAGTTGTATATTGCCAATGTATCTATCACATTGTATGCTGAGAAAATACTCTGAAAAGTTGGAGTATATGAAAAATATGGCATCAAGATTGGAAGAAAACCCATCCGCAATCCTAGAGATATAAATGGCACGATCTTGCTTACAAAAAGTGAAAAGGACTTGAAACACTTCCTGAAGAAGATCAGAATGGATTAAACCTCAACATTGAGAAAACAGAATTCTCAAAACTGGACCCGTAGATAACATTATGATAGATGGAGAACAGATTAAAATTGGCTAATATTTCATATTATTTGGATCCACTGTTAACATCCTTGGAAGCAGCAGTTAAGAAATCACATGAAAGTATTGTATGAAGATCTGTTGTCAAGGGCCTCTCTAAAGTGCTAAAGAGCAAAGATGTCAGTTTAAAGACTATGGTACACTTGATCCAAGCCATGATATTTTTCCTTTGCTTTGTATAACTATGAAAGTGGACAATAAGAAAAGAAGACCAAAGTAGAATCAGTGCCGTTAGATTTATGGTATTGGTGAATCGTTTTAACTATCTACTGGACTGTCAAAAGCACAACTACTCTGTGTTGGCAGAAGTGGAACTAGAGTGTTTCTCAGAAACAAAACATAAAGGCTGTTGTCTCACAGACATTGGGCATACTGCCCTGAGGGGTCTGTCCTTGCAGATGAGTATCTCATTTGGAAAAGTGGCAAAGGAGAGGAAGACCTGGACAAGACATGGTGACAGCAGCAGGAAAGTGAGCACAGCAGAGCTTGTGAAGAGGCTGACACTGTTTCCTTGTGCACACAGTCCTTGTGAGTCACTGTGAGTGTTATACACATAGTCACATGGTCTTGGGTATCAGGAGTAACTAACTCACTGGCACCTTTTAACAGCGGCCTGAGATCAATAGAATATGCGTGGGAATGGGCATACTTCTGTCTGTGGGGATTATCATTAATTTGGCTTGAGTTTTTCATATGCTTACCTCATTTTACCATAGACTTTTAAGTTCTTTTATTGCTTTTGGAAGCTTTGGTGGGCAGTAGCGAAGGAGTTGTGCTGCCAGCCATCACCTGCTTTGTGGGAGAAAGATGGAGTCACCACCCATGTGATTTACCTCTGACAATCCACTAGGGGTCAGCTGTGGGATGGTTTGACTCAGTAGCACTGGGTTTGAGGTTTTGGCTTTTCTGTTTTGTTTCTTCTTTTCTGCTGCTCTGATTTAAGGTGAGAGGTTGCTGGAAAGTATTCCCTAGTGTTCTTAGTCTGCCTTCATGAGTAGGCTTTTCTTCGAGCCTCCTCCTCAGAGTGATCTCTACATTCTCCCTTCTGCAACAGTTTACTGTCATTCCATGTTGCTGAACGCCCCTGCTCTGTGCTGTCCTGATTCACCCTCTCTTTTCATCAGACCCTGTTTTCCAGAGTCTGGAATCTGCTTTTATCAACCGTGCCCTCATTACCATGGCATATAGTCTCTGCTCATTGTGTGCCTATTTTAAGTCATGTATAAAAGTTTCCTCCTGTCACATCTACCCCGGGTCGATCTGCATCTGTGCCATGGAAGACACTTCCATTTGTTTACCTTACCTAATGGTTTAAAAAGGCTTTTTTCCTCCATCTGGTCATGGTTGATGTGGTTTTCATATTAGCTGACACTCTTCCCTCCCACATCTCTATGACCAAGGGAGAATTTCTCTTGGTTTTATTTGGGTTTTTATCCCCGCCTGCCCATTTTTTTTTTTTTTTTTTTTTTTTTGGTGTGTGAACACATGGTGAATTCCATTTTTTTAAAAAAAATACACATCTTGAGTGAGTGTGAGCCCTGTATATCTACAGCTTTCTCTGCTTCTGTACTCTCATGCGAGCCCCTCCCTGACCTTTGCCGTGGTTTTTAGTTGTCATTGACTCAGTCCTGAGTCACAGCAGCTCTGTGTTGTAGTGTAGACCTAATCTGTAAGGTTCTCAAGGCTTGGACCTTTTGGAAGCAGATAGCTATTTTCTGAGGGACCTCTGGGTATATCCAGATCACCACTGTTAGGTTAGTAGTCAGATGCTTTGTCACCAAGGAGTACTTCACTTTTAACAATGGGTAAAAGTTTGTGGAAATTCTTTTTTTACTCTCCTTTTTAGTGGTTTCATCACCTTTCCAGATTCTGCCATAGATGAGCCAGAACACAGCCATCTCTTTTTGTAGGCATTTGTCTTATCTTACATTTCAAACTAGTTAGTAATCAACCTGTTTTATGGATTCAAGGAAAGTTATTTTGTAGATTTTTCTGAATTTTATGGTTGATATGGTTGTCAACAGTTTCACCTTGCTTGGCTCAACAGTCAACACTCTTGGTACAAGCAGTCGAAAAATCAAAAGATGAATTACTTTTGGAAAATCTGCTGTTAGGGACCTTTTCCAAAGTGCTAAAGAGCAGTGATGTCAGCCTAGAGACTAAGATGCATCTAATACAGGCCATGGTTTTCACAACTGCTTGCTATGCAACCGAGAGCTGGACAGTGACTAAGGATGACAGAAAAATTGATACCTTTGAGTTGTGGTGCTGGAGAAAAGTGTTGAACATACCGTGGACTACCAGGAAAACAAACAGGTTTGTCTTGGAGAGGGTGAAACCAAGTTTCTCTTTGGAGGCAAGGATTTTTAAAGCTCTGTCTTGCATGCTTCGGGCACATGGCCAGGAGAAGGACATCATGCTTTGAAAAGTGGAGTGATAGCACATGAGAGGAAGACCCCAGAGTGAGTTAAAGCTACCCCTGCCTTCTTCCTAATTCAAGTTTTCAGAACATTTCATGTCATGCTACTTGTGCAGGGTTAATGGAGGTTAAAGCTTGGACTTAACTTTCTATGAAATAGTACAAAATATAAATATATCTATAGGAAAAGCTTACCTTCAGTACAGCCCCACCTGCTTGTCCAATGATTAAATATCCTGGTAGGAGATATTTTACTCAAGAATCATGATTGTTGAATATACCATTTTTTATACAGCTGATAGTTGACAAAGATAATGTGACCGTAGACAGCCAATATGAAGATACATTTCTTTTTCTTAGTTCCCACTACACAGTGATTTGGCTAACTTAAACATAAACCTTTATATATAAATTACCCTGAAAATTTAAGGTTAAGCTAGTTTATGTAAATAATTTTTGATGTTTGACAGAGCTTTAACTAATTTTGGTCAGCTTAGTCTGATTTTTTTCACTGTCGGTTTGACGCTCCTTTATTTATTGCTATTCTTTTTCAGAAAATCCTTCCAGGAGGAAATACATCATTTGATGTTGTTTTTCTTGCAAGAGTAGTAGGAAATGTAGAAAATACTTTATTTATTAACACATCTAATCATGGGGTATTTACTTACCAGGTAAGAACCAAAACAAACAGCTTTCTTTATTTAATAAATTTTGTAATAATCTCAGACCTAGTATGTTATAATCGTGTAAGAGTTCCCCTCAGAAGCTCAGGAGATAACAAAGTATCTGGGTTTGTACTTGCATCCTCACTGTTGTATCCTGAACTGACTGATAATGCTTGCATCTCCTATTCAGATCAGATTCTGAATGAGAGATGGAAAGCCACAGCTATGTTTACTTGGCAAAAGAATGCTGTGGCATAAAAAAAAGAAATCCAGTGACTTTTAAAGTGTGTTTCATTTGTACTGTTTGCATAATTCATGATGACTTCAGACCTAAAATGTGCATGCATGCTTTTTTTTCCTAAAGAGGATACATTGTTAATTGTTGGACAAACATGTATTTTTAACATATGATCATAAAGTTATTAAATCATTAAGTTATTAAGTAAAGTTGATATTTATAGAAATTATAAAGTAAATGTTTTTATCAGCCATCTTTCTATGAATCAGTATTAAGAATTCCTTCTGTTAGTCTGGCTGTATACTAAGTAAACTAAGAACATATGTTTAAATCTCACAACTACTGTATAAGATACAGGTAACATTATTCTCTAATTTTGTTTTTTAAATAAAAACGCTGATGTGTAGAAAGATGAAATCATTTTCCTATATCACATTAGAAGTAAAATTCTGTGTGAAGGTGTAATCCTAAATCTTTGTAACTGCAAAGAGCCTGCTCTCTACCTGGTGCTGCACATGAAACTAAATTATTTAAAGTTTTAGTTAACAAATTTCTTATTTTGTAGTTTTATATTGCTGCGGTTTATTTAACTTTTTTTCTTCAGAGTCCTTTAAAAGAACATTAAAAAGCACTTTAAAAGTATGAGTGTCTAAGTAAATAATTTTATTCAGGAGTCAAGTCTTCTGCATATGGTAAATAAGTAATTTAGAGTTATTTAGTAAATCCTCAGCAAAATTCTGATGCCCGGGTCAAAGCATCAACACTTTTGATGTAATTAGAAAATGCTGTATAGATAAGGTTATCCCACCTGAGTTTAAAAACTAACTCCAGCATGGATTTAATGTCTTGAACACTAATGATCAAATACCAAAAGAATTATGGGATATCATCACGGACATCATCCTTAAAGGAACCAAAAAGTCATTACGATGACAGGGGGAAAAAAGAGCAATGTGGATATAAAGAAAGACTGGAGCTTGCACTAGAACATAAAGAGGCCAAAGCAAAGGGTAGATATGCTGATGTAGGAGGGTTAAACAGAAGATTTCAAAGAAGAGCCCAAGAAACAAAATATAACAAAATGTGCAAAGAGCTGGAATTATAACACCAAAATAGAAGAACACATTGGGTATTTCTCAGTCTGAAAAAGTTGAAGAACAAATTCAAGCCTCAAATTGCAATACTGCATGATTCTGTAGACAAAATCTTGAATGATGTAAGAATCATCAGAAGGTGGAAGTAATATATACAGTCTTCGTACCAAAAAGAGTTGGTCAACTTTGAACCATTTCAGAAAGTAGCATTGTGATCCAGAACTAATGGTACTGAAGGAAGAAGTCCAAGATACGCTGAAGACTTTGGCAAAAAAAAAAAAAAATAAGGTTATGGGAATTAACAGAGTATCAATTGAGGTATTTCAGCAAAGAGATGCAATCCTGCACATGCTCACTAATCAGTGCCAAGAAACTTGGGAAACAATTATCTGGCCAATGTGCTGAAAGAGATACATATTCCTTCCCATTCCAAAAGGATTAAACAGAGGGCAGAAATTACTGAATCTCATTAATATCACATACAATTAAAAATCTTACTGAAGATTATTTTAAAATAATGGCTGAAACTGACATTGACAAGGAACTGGTGGAAATTCAAGCTGTAAAGAAGGATGTAATTGCCGGTGTCAAAAGAGTCTTGGCCGAAAGCAGAGATTACCAGAAATATGTTTACTTGTTTTATGAATGGCATTTGACTGTGTGAATCATAACAAATTATGACTAATAGTGAGAAGAATGGGAATCCCACAATATTTATTTGTGCTCATGCAAAACCTGTACATGGACCAAGAAGCAGTTGTCCAAATAGAATAAGAGAATACTGCATGATTTAAAATCTGAAAAGGTGTGTGACAGGATTATATCCTTTATACCAACTCGGTTTTTATGCTGAGCAAATAGTTTTGGACTATGTGAAGAATGTGGCATCAGGATTGGAGGAAGATGCAACACCAGTCTTTATTATGCAGATAACACAGCCTTTCTTGAAGAAAGTGAAGACCTGGTTAAGATCAAGCTACAACTTCAATAAAATGGAATTTCTCATCACTGAACATACAGACAACATCTTGATTGATAGAGAAAAGATTCAAGTTGTCAAGGATATTGTTTTTCTTGACTTATCGTCAACACCTACGGTAGCTTAGGTGCCATTGAGTCAACTGTGACTCATAGCAACCCTCGGAACAACAGATTGGAACCTTGCCCTATCTTGCACCATCCTGACAGTCTCAGCCATGTTCAAGCCTATCATCACAGGCACTGTCATTTCTGAAAATTTTCAGTTATTAATGAATGTTGTTAGCTATTTTTCTTCATTTAGGGTCTTGCTACATCCGCAAATGAAGGTCCTTCATTGGATGAAAGCTTTATTTGTGTCAGTAAGATAGGCTCAGCTTTGAGGATGGTGCTTTTCCCCAGATGTACTTTGTGTGCCTTCCAACCTGACAGGCTCACCTAGTAGCATTACTTCCAGGAGTGCTCTTCTGATATTCACAGGGGTTTTGTAGTCCTGTTACTTCAGAAGTAGATAGCCAGTCATGCTTCTTAGTCTGTGTTAGTCTAGAAGTTATCCTCTGTGGTGACTCTACTGATATTTGAAATATCAATGGCATGACTTCAGCCACCACAGGAAAAACAAGCCATCATAACACTCTGAGCTGACTGGTGGCCTTTGTTAGCAGCAGTAAGGAAATCAAGAGCTGTATTGCGTTGGGTAAATCTACTCTCAGGGATCTCTTTAAAGTGCTAAAGAACCAGCTTGCCAACTTAAAGACTAAGTTGCTCCTGATCTAAGCTATGATATTTTTAGTTGTTTCTTATGCATGTTTGAAGCCTTTGAATTGTGCTCTTGGAAAAGAATATTGACTATCTGACAGACTTTGAAAAGAACAAACAAATCTTGGAGGAAGTACAACCAGGATGTTCCTTTGAGGCAACAAGGATGGATGAAAACATCACCTCACACATTTTGAGTCCTGTTGTCAAGAAGGGCAGGTCCATGGAAAAACACGTCATGCTGGGAAAGATGCAGGGTCAGCAAAAGAGAGAGAGATCTTCAGCAAGTTAACACAATGACTGCAGTGATGAACTTGAGCAAAGTCTAGATTGTTAGTGATGTCGCTGGATAGGACATAGAGTTGGTCAGTTCATGTTAGTGATGGTGCTAAATAGACAGAGGTGGTCTGTTCATGTTAGTGATGGTGCTGGCTAGGACAAGTGGTCTGTTCATGTTAGTGATGGCGCTCGATAGGACATAGAGATGGTCAGTTCATGTTAGTGATGGCGCTTGATATGACAGAGATGTGGTCAGTTCATGTTCGTGATGGTACCAGCTAGGAAAGAGAGGTGGTTACTTTCTCCGTAGGGTCAGCAGCAACGAACATTATATACACAATGCCCACTTAATAGTCACTTCCTAAGTAAATTAAAATAATGTCAAAGAATCACAGCTTTTGTCCTACAAGACATTCCATAAGTGACATGAGTATTAGCAGCCCATGTAGGCTACCTGAATACATTTTTTGGTAAAAAAAAAAAAATTGTAACTTAGTTTTTTTCTCCATCTAAACTAATTCTTTAAATCAAGCAGGTATAACTCTAAAAAATTGATTATAAAGCATTTATATTTGTACTTTTCCCCCACCATTGAAACAGGTGTTTGGTGTTGGAGTTCCAAATCCCTATCGGCTGAGGCCGTTTCTTGGGGCCAGAGTCCCTGTGAACAGCAGCTTCTCCCCAATCATAAACATACACAATCCTCACAGTGAGCCTTTGCAGGTAAGCCTTTGCAGGTCGTGGTTTTGAATGAGCTGAATTTTGGTGGAAGCTATTGTTTAATTTGAGTTCTTAGGGTTTTTATCCTTTTCAGTACCACTTAAAATTAGTTTTAAATGCAATATTCTGTTACTGTTTTAAAGAAGGTATTAATTTTACTACAGCTTTTAATGTAAACTGATTTTTTTATTTGTTTTTTGTATAAATAAAAATTATTTTAGTTCTCTGGTGTTGCACTTTAGCTTAGCATTTAAGAAAATCTTTCAGTTGCAAAGGCTGCCCCTTTTTTAACCTATAATCTCCATCTGCCCAATATAAATAAAAATAGTCCTTATTTGTTTCTAATAATAGTACATTTTTCATGGTGGCAGTATGGAAATTGAAAATACAAAAGGAGGAAACTATATGATAAATAGGAAACTTTGTCTTATGAATAGAAAAAGAAAAGAAATGTAACTCCTTATTTTACCTGACCTTAGGCTTCTTTCCATTAGTTGGATGACATTGGAAGAGGATAGCAACCAAGGAAAATATTCTGTCCATATTTTAATTTCTTTAGATACCTTTATCCCAGATCAATAGAATCCTCAAGTCCAGTTCTTATCAGTAAAAGAAGTATTAAAACTCCTGTTTATGTTCCTCTTTTCTTCAGCCTTACTTTGCCATTTATCTGGTTTTAGTAATGGTGTATTTTTTCTGCTCTGGCTAACTAAAGAGACCTCACAAGTTCTTACTGCTCTCTTTCTTTGACTGAAGACAGTCAAACAAGTCAGCAAACTACCCTTTCAGTCTACCAGAACGTGCTGAGTGAGTGAGTGACTGATGTCAACTGCTGTAGAACGAACTCTGCAGTGCTGGCCATTCTGTAGATCTTAAAGAAGTCTTACAGTCTGTCCTTTCTCCTCTGTCTCTGGAGTTAACAAACTGTCACCCAGAATAAAGAGAATTTCCTTCAATAGTTTGTTGTTTCTTTTCCTTTTTTTTTTGGTCTGGTCTTTTCCCTGTTACAGTAGTTTTACTTAAGAAGATTTCCCACAATTAATTCTTCACCAGCACATGGAAGAACAGATGGAAAACCAGGGATTCCCTCCTCAAATCCATTTTGAATCTGAATTCATTTTGAATCATTTTGATTCTGTTTCCTTGGAAAATGGGTTTTAACTGATTTAATTCTTTCTTGATGTTGTTGTTGTTGCTCTTATGTACCGTTGAGTCGCTTGCGACTCATAGCGACCCTATGTACAACAGCCCTAAACTCCGCTCTGTCCTGTGCCAATCGCACTGTCTCTGACACTCCCATCCCAATTATCCCAGTCACTGAATCAATCCACCTCATAGAGGGCCTTCCTCTCCTGCGCTGTCCCTCCACCCTCCCAAGCATGATGTCCCTCTCCAAGGACCTGTCTCTCCTGCAACATGTCCAAAGTATGTTAGACGAAGCCTCAGAATCCTTGCCTCCAAGGAGTCACCCGGTTTAACCCTTTCCAGGACAAATCTGTTTGTTTTCCTAGCAGTCCATGGTATTCTCAATACTCTTCTCCAGCACCACAGCTCAAAGGCATCAATTCTCTTTCTATCCTCCTTGGTCATTGTCCAACTCTTTGATGCATGACAAGTAATTGCGAAGACTATGGCCTGTATCAGACACACCTTAGTCTCCAGAGAGACACCATTGCTCTTCAGTACTTTGGACAGTTCCCTAACAGCAGACTTTCCCATGGCAATGCGCCTTTTAATTTCCTGGCTGCTGGTGCCAAGACTGTTGACTGTGGAGCCAAGCAAACTAAAGCTGTGTACAATCTCAATCTCTTCATCATCCATCCTGATGCTGCCAATTGGTCCAGTGGTGAGAATCTTTGTCTTCTTGACATTGAGCCTCAATCCATATTGTAGCCTGCAGTCCTTGACCCTCTGCAGCAGGCGCTTCAGGTCCTCTTCAGTTTCAGCAAGCAGGGTTGTGTCATCCGCATAACACAGATTGTTGATAAATCGTCCACTAATCTTGACCCCGCATTTCTCCTCATAGAGCCCAATTCCAAGCCCTTCTCACCGGTACCATTTGGTAGATGTCACTTCAGACACTTTTTTGTCCGTTGCATGTATATGTATCCCCACAAAAATAAATACTTTCCATTTTGAGGGAGTTTTTAACATAGATGTTATTGTGTATATAATAGATAATGCCTATCCTTCTCCCATGGAACAGCTGTGGGATTTGAACTTATTTCCTTCTTAATGGCAGCATAGTTTCTTAACGCTAGGCCACCAGAGCTCCTTCAGTAACAAGAAAAGTATATTAAATTAGAGCAAATGACACTGCATAAAAATTAAGCACCATGCTTGTAGTTTTAATATAACTTTTTTTATTTTATAATCAATCCTCATCTCCTTAAGTTGTTTTTTTTTCTGTTGCCTTTTGTCTTACCTTTTAAGGCTGAGCACTATGCTTATTTCTGGTATCTTGAAAGATTAGTTGAAACAGTATATGATGCATTCTAGTTTTCCAGAGAAGTTCTACAATTACCCTATCGGTTAAAATGTTGTTAATACAACAGGTAAGAGCACCGGTAAATTGATAAGCAAATAATGATACTCAAAGAATCCTTGCTAATGTATTACTTTAACAAAAGCACACACATACACAGATATTCTAAGTTTATGCTACATAGAATTTATCTGCTGTGTTCATTTTCATCTGCTCCTGGAGTACCTTTGTAATCAAAACAAATGAAGAGTTGTGCACCAATTCTCTTACTTCCACCCAAATTAGCATTTAAGTAAATAAGATCTTTATTTAAAAAAGAGAGAGAGGGAGAGAGAGAGAGAGAGTTTGTGTGTGTGTGTGTGTTGCCTTCCTGGAAAAGAAAATCTACCATATGACCCATTCTTCTCACAAGTATTTATCCAAGAGAAAATGAAAGCAGATGTTCACACAAAGACATGTACCAAATATACTTAACAGCTTGATTTCTAATAGCGAAATCTGGTCTCAAAGTAAATTCGTATCAGTGAGTGAGTGAGACAGGAGGGAAAGTTGTGATATAGCAGTAAAATAGAAAAAGGATGAACTACTAATTCATACAACTTGCTTGCATTTAAAAATAATAATGCTGAGTGGGAGAAACCAAACCAAGAAAGTACATCTTTTACTTTCATATCTGTAAAACACTAGAAAGTACATAGTGGCAGAGAGCAGGTCAGTAGTTACCAGGGATAAAAGAACAGATATATTCAAAGTGTAACACGGAAACTTTATAGATAATGGACATATTCATTGTCTTAATTATTCCATTATTTAATTACCGATTGAAAAATTACCAAGTTGTGTGTTTTAAAGATGTGCAATTTCTTATACATCACCTGTTGGTAGGGTTTTTGTGTCCTATCAAGTCACACCACAACTGCCCCTCCCATGGTTTTTCAGAGCCAATAAATCACACAGGAAGGGACTGCTGACCTTTCTTCTGCAGAGCATGGTGAATTCATAGCATATACCTTTGCATTGGCTGGCAGGCAGTTCCTTACCACTAAGCCACATTAGAGCTCTCTAACATCAGTTATACTTCAGTAAAATTGCTCCTAAAATAATGAATATAGACACAAATCAGAGGTCTTAATAGTCCCCATGATTTTTGGTACCAGTGGAAACTAGAAGTTTTCATACTGCGTTATAACTGATGCATTTATCTCAGAATAATACTTCTCAACACTGTTACAGAGCAGGACTGACATGGGAGGTTGGGAGGAGAGTAGGAAAAGAGTGGGCAGATAATGAATACTGCACTGGAACAGATGAAGGAAAGAACTGTGTAAAAGGCATTGTGATTAGGCATTATGGACAGCAGTCCAAAATAAGAGGTACTTTGCAAAGAGGACTAGGGGAGAGGGAGGAAGGAAATTGTGCAAAAATGAATGAATATTAGTAAAAAAAGGAAAGTGAACCAGGGGAGGGTAAAGAAAAAGAAAGGAAAATGTGCAACAGTGAATGAATGAAAATCCAGGTTTTCTGTAAACTTGTATTAAACCCACAATCAAAAGAAAAATTTTTATTTTTAAAAAAAGAATACCGAGATATTTCTTTCAGGATAATGTCCTGCAAGGTCACTTATGTTGTATAATGTTTTCTGAGTTCATTGTTTTTGAGTGCTGTGTAGCATTCCGTTTTTT